AAGCTGATGACGCACTACGCGCGTTCTATACTAGTTTTATCGGATAAAGTCAAAGTATGTATTCCACTTATTCGATACAACCAATGACGCACCATTTACATCCTTTGTTACGAAAGACAATCGATGAAACATTTTATTCGTCCTATACTGTGATACTTTGTTACATTGCAAGAATGGCGTACTATTTGCAGGTTCATACTACTTCTCTTACACAATCGATGATTCTTTTTCCTATACAGCTTGTTCGATTCGAGGGAACAAACGACACGCCGTGCGCTTTCTATGCAATTTATCTTGAAACGATTGAAAGAAAGAAATAAAAATGAAATAGAATAGAAAAGAAAATATAAGAATGATTTATATAAATTTAATTATTCATTCATTTAATTATTTAATTATTCATTATGAATAATTTTATGAATTCCAGATTTTATTTATGATTTTTTAAATGTTTATATTTATATTTAATATACTAATATCATTTCTTTTGAAAGTTAAAATATTTTTAAATTTTAGAATTTCTTTTTTTATTATGTTTTATGAGAAAGAAAGAAATGAAAATGATTTGTCTTTGCGTTCTTCAATTTATTTTTCAATTGGATGTTGAATTGAACTTGTCCTCTTAATTAATTAATAATAGTTATTTAATTTTATATTTTACATGATGAAAATTAGTAATCATTTCGTATATTATTATAATATTGCATAATATTAAATTTTATATGAATATCTAAAAAATTTATGATAAGATAATAACAAAATAGAGTGTTTTAGAATATTTAACTTTTGGATATTTTTACTAAGAACTCTTTTTACATTTTTTCAATTACATTCAACATTTTATCCGAATTCAATTCTGCTGAATTTTCTATTTTTCAAAGGTATTTCAAAATGGTGTTCATAATTTTACCGTAATTTAATTTATTAAAACTAAAAAATATAATAAAATGGAATAAAATAAGATCTTAAGTCGCAAAGATTTAAACAAAATTCAAATATAATTTACTTAAATGTATAATCATAAAAGAATAATCAAAATCATTATAATAATTAATGACACGATTTAAAAAATTCAAAATGAAACAAAATGAAAAAGAGAAAAAGAAAAAAGAAGGCAATATCATTTTTAAAAATGGGATCAAGTTCAATAATTATATTTTCACGAGTTTCTGATAATTGTCCCTATATGACGTATTTAAGAAAAATTTTGAAAATAAATATAGAAGTGAAATTTTTCTTAAGGAAATAATTAATAAACAAAAAACAAAAAGATATTATTAAATAAAAAAACAAACAAATTCTGAAGAAATTAAATTACCACTCGAAAGATAATAGCAATGGAATTAATCTCAAGTGATTAGATTATATTTCATTATTCTTTTTACTTTAGCATATTATCATTTAAAGAGAAATTTGATTACTATTTACTTTTATACAATATGAAAAAATAATTTAAAAAAAAGTAAAATTATAATCATTTATATTATGCATAATCATCTTTGGTGAAAAGAATTTGTTAAATTAATAAACAATGTTCAATGTCATGAAGAACGCTAGAATGCATAGATTTAATGGGTAAAAATGTGTAAGTTATTCTGTATAATAAAAAAATTCATTTAATTCTTTCGTTTCTATAATATGAAATCTACAGAACATATCTCTCGAGATTAATATATTCACGAAACACCTTTATCAATTCTAGAGAACAATAAATAAAAGTTGATATACAAAAATATCGATTAAAAAGCTTATTAAATATTATAAACAATTGAAGTTTGCGCTAGATGAAACAGTCTCAGTCTATTTCTATCTTATTTCATTTAACACCACGCTTCAATCGTTTAGAAAACCGACATTTTTGTAAACTCACTTTTACATTTATTTTAGCTTCCAAAATCGATTCTCCAATAATAATCCACTCGATTATATTAATATTATATTAATATATAAATTGTGGAAGAATCAAGAATAATTAATATAAAATATCAATTTATTAATGGAAAACCAATCAATAATAATAACGCATAAAAGTTTCGTTTTTCAAAATCACGACGAATTCGAATCGAATCAAAATTCTATTTGCAAGATACTTGATCCCATCGGTAATCAGCTTCCATCGCGATCTCCCCAATCGCATATCCCTACACGTCGCATGCGTGTTTATCGTGGTCGCTAGTACGAGGTTGCCAAATATAACCAAGAAGCGTGAAACGCGTGCGCCACGATCGTCTCGTAAGAGTAGACCGAGCTCGACTCGAGCTCGACTAGTCGTCGTGTGGAGCGTCGTTTAAATGTTAAAGCGAGTGGCCGGTTAACTAATGCTTACTCGCTTGCCGGGCTGGTTCATTTCGTGTCACCACAGTTGCCGCTGATGTGGCAAAGGGCCAACGGAAACAAGTACACGCGTAGGCGATTCGCCTGTTAGATTTGCTTCTAAGTAAGCAGGTAAGCTTCGTCAAACGAGAGAATTAAATCTCGACCAATAATCCTTATCGTGCAAGATTCAAGTCAATAAAAATTATATTGAATAATAATTTTTCTGACCAAGATTCAGTTGGTTCTTGTTCACTCAGCTGCATTAGTCGAAAATTTGGCTTAACGTGTGTTTGTTGTCATCGAAAAGGTTAGTAGCACTGATTCCAATTCTTATGTTGCTATTTTTATTCGTTAGAAAATGACTTATTGACAAATCGTATTAACACGTTCGCTATCACTGATGAAGCATTGTTAATTTAGCGCTTGATATTCTGTATATTATTCGTCGAGAATGTTTCGATAGTTATCACTAATAATGATAAGAATCGATGAATTATCATTACTCACTTATAATTATGAAAAAGAAATATCGATGTTTGTTCGATACGTTCATTGTCAATGTCGTATTATTATTCTCAAGTATCATATACATTAAAAATTATGTCGATAAGATGAGTAGTGATTTTTATATAATTTTCATAGAGGTTCCAATTACCAATGTTGTGAGCATATTGATAATTTATCTATAAAATTAGGAATAGGTTCTTATTAATATTTTCTTGGTGAATGTAAGAGTTAAAGATTGATAACAGTTGAATAATAATAATAAATAATTAACGTCTCTGATTTTCTGCTTATTATCGGAATAATTATTATACCGATGATTCTCTCACAATGCATTTAAAAGCCGTTAGTGCCGCCACCTGAACACTGAGTTAATTCGGTAGATGTTATCTATCGAATCTACGACAGAACAGCGATGTCAGCTTTCTCACCGACAAACCGCTACAGTACCAAAATAATAGTTATCGCCACGTGTTGAGGCGGCAGCACTGTTTTTAAGTCCACATTCGAAGCGACAGAATCTAACTATGTGCTTACACGTTAAAAGCTAAGATTAATTTTGCTTGTTTTTTTAAAATATAAATTTTCAAAATAAAAAAAGTTTTAATTATTTCAATTGTACAATCATGTAAAATGATAAAAAATAAATTAATTAAATTATAAAATTTCCATTTATCTCAATTTTTCAAGGTTAAAAAATATCTACTAATATTCTACAATATTCTACCATGCATATTAAGCTACTAAAAATGTGTATAAAATAATTTTTAATTTACTATATCCCAAAAAGTTTTACGTCAATCATTTATGACCGACATGGCAATGCATTAAAACAGAGATGAGCCTCGTCGAACGTGAATACAAACGTACCAAACAAAAAATCTATTCCCAAACCTATTTCACCATCGATCGAAAGAATTTGAAACAATCGAGAAGAAAAATCGAAGATTCCTCTTAATTAACACTTTTTTTTTTTGCATCGTCGACGTACACTTGGTCGATCCATCAAAATTTACGCTCATTCATAAATATTTCGTTTCGTTCATTCGCTACCTCAGAAATCGATGTGCCATTAGACTCGGGCGTGACGTCGAGTTTCGCGTCCAGTTCTCTGCTAGGTTGATCATTGCCGTGTTGCACCCAGGCCTCCCATCCCTGTCTGGGCCACCAGGACACCTGGCTCCCACCAGGAATCAACAAGTTCACCTCCTGTTGAGAGAGCATCGTCGACGACGACGAGGACGAAGCCGAGGGTGGTCCACCATCGGCCAGGCCGCCGCCGCCGCCGCCACGCAAGCACCAGCCTCCAGGATGATCCAGGGTGACAACCGTGTCGTGTCTATTTGGGTCGTGGATCGCTCTTAACGATTACGCGATTCTCGTGCCACTCTCACAGGCGCATCTTGCCAAGAGCAACGCCTAAGTATTTCTAAATCCAGGTTCTCTGATCGATTCTGGGTCAACCGTTGGGACGTTTCTCGGGTTACCTTAATCGACGATGCGTAACTGGCACGAAAAATGTTATCTTCTGCTGGTAAGATGTTCCGTTTATCAAGACAGGTGTTCTCAAGATAAATATACGAATTATTAGCAATTGCTTCAGATGTATTAAATGTACGTATATATTGGGTTTCAGATCCTATCTATCTGTTTCTAGATAGGTATTTCAGATATACGACATATTCCAATAGTTTAGATTTTATCTATATGTGTCCAGGATAGGTATACGAATTATTTCAGATATTCCAATAGTTATTGCCGCTTTAGGTCCTATCTATCTGCTTTTTGGATATGTGAATCATTTCGAGTATTCTAATAATCGTACTTCGATTCTTCCTTAAAAGTCTAGATTAATTAAATTCCTGATTAGAACATCGATAGAATATCGGTGATTGACATATTCAAGTAGTTGTACACAGTTCTTACAATATCACTGAATCAGAAAATTAAGATCTTTCGAGAGAATCCTTTCCGAATTCCTTCGGATCTCTGGATTATCGATGACATCAATATCTGATTGTATTTCCAAAATACAAATTATCCCAAGTACAAAATGTACTTAAGCAGTTGTGCATATACATTATTACACACTTCTTTAACAGAAGTGAAGATTAAGATCATTTAATGCATTAAATCTAGGTTATACTAGGATTTCTGGATCATTTATATTACCAAGATAGTTCTTCTATCTATCTATTTTCAAGATACGAATTATTCCAATAGTCTTATACACACTTTACATAACACTCGGATGAGATTCTAAATCATCAATGCTACCAGAATCTGTTCCTTTTGCTCACATTTCCAGCATGCCTTTCATATTAATTATTCCAAATACTCCAATAATTATGCACACTTTAGTATCACCGGATCAACGAGATCCTTCCATTAAGTTCAGACAATTCATATCTCTTCAAAATCATCGACATTACCAGAGGCTACGAATTAATCCAGGGACAACTCTATAGTCAGTTGTACACACTTCACACTGCGATCCTTCCTAGATCAGATTCCAGATCAGAATCGCCTCCCTCGTTCGTTCGATCAGAGATTTTCGCGGTCGAATTTGGTGGTCGGAACGGATATAGGATGAAGAAGATGGTTGGTCGTAGATTCCGGCGAACCGGCTTCTCTGCCGCCGCGTTTCCCGACAAAGATGCGGAGGACGACGGCGTTGCGCTGGCCATCTGGCGCAAACTCGCACTAAAACCGCGGCGAAACCGCGTCACGAGTCCCCCTCGAAAATAGTCGCCGGTCGAAAATAGCCGACTCTGGCTAAGAAAGAAGAATCATCGGTATTTGCTCCGGGTACGCGCGTGCTCGCGCTAGTTGCATCGCGGCCTTCTCCAGAGAGGCTCGCGTACTTGTTCCTTCTTCTTCTTCTTCTTGATCTTTTCCTACGTGTCATTTTCCTCTTCTTGTTCCTCTTCTTATCTTTGTTTCATTCTTTCGTGTCTTCTTCGACCGATTCTCGTTTCTCTTCGCTTGCTCGATGACGTATTTATACCCGGTCTATCGAACGAGACGCGCGAGGGAAAACACGGATATCCTTGCTTCTCAGAGATGGCGGGGCAGAGAGAGGGTATTATAGGGATGGAGAGACGATGACGATTCATAGTATGTTTTTTCTGAATTTCTCTTGGAAATATGAAAAGTCTTTTCATACGAAAATTGTTTGATTTCAAATATTCCGATTTTGAGAGGGGAGGGGAGGGGAGGGGGAGGGGTGGGATTATTATTCAGTTGCATGTAACAGAATATTTGGATATCAATGTAATTCTTCTTTAAACGGAATTTATATAATTTTATTATTGCCAGCTATGATTTTCGAAGTAAAATTCAAGCAAGGCATATAATGATTATTTTTAATTAATTTCGTTTGATTATCTTTACAAATATCGGTAATAAATGTCAATTTTGGTATTTAATTGTTTATAAAAATAGATATATACAATTTTTATCGATCGAAAAGAAAATTTTAAAATAAAGACGACGTGTTGCTTAATATATCTAATAAAAATAAATAAGAATAACAGGAAAATAAGTATAATATACGATGTTAGGCTGGAAAGCAAGTAATGTGATGAGTTAATAATGGTAGATCAAAAAGATATTTTGTTAAAAATAGTTATAACATTGAATTTGTTTCAAAAATGCAACAAATTGGTATAAATAAAAATATGTAATTTAAAAATATATTGGAAATTATATTGATGTTCAAATTTCTTTAAATAAGAAGGGGAAAACGGAATTTATTTTATTACATTTCCGTCGTAAAGTCAAACAATTTTCATATAAAATATCCTTTCATATTTTCATTAATTTAAAAAATAATAGTGTACATGTAAATGAATAACGTATACTGTTCACGTGATAATTTGAAAATTTGCGAAAAGGTGACGGGAAAAATACTTGATGTTCGACTAGTCGTAGGAGTTAAAATATAAATAAATTAATATACTATTGATTAATACTATTGTTATATTCTTGCAAAATTTTTTATAAATAAATTATTGACTATTTAGATTATGTTTTTAGGAATATTAATATAATATAATTTAATTTTTAGTCTTGTAATAAAATATTTATTCGTTATTCACAATTATCTGATATTATTTTGCAAAAGAATTAACTATATCTGATCATTAAATTCTAAATCTCATAAAATTGGATAAGAATCGTTAAAATCTTACAATAGTTATAATAAATTATAATTATCACGTTACAATAATTAAAATCATTTATAATTAATAATATTCAAGTACGAATTATTTCTAACATTGGATTTCGATCATTTACAAATAATTCTCTACAGATACGTTCGTAAATAAAAAATTATAACGAACGATATTGTTTGAAGTTTTAATTATAGAATAAAGTAATATTTGTTTTTGTGCTTTAATTATTCAGTAAATAATTAAATTTTATTTTATTAAAAAAATATAAAAGAATAATTCACAAATGATAAAAGAAAAAATTGGTTAAATAGATTTATTCTTTTTTTATTCATTATTATCATTAAATTCATGTCATGTATTTGAAAGTATAATTTTAAAATATAAAATCTGTTTTAATAAATGTCATATTTAATCTTCAACTGATGACATGATATTAATTTGATATATTTCGAAAATTGACAAATATGTCTTTATTTATTGATCATATATATAATAATTGTTTTATCAATATTGGAAATAAAATTTGTGACTTGTTTATTAACCAATTACTTTAAAAGACAATTATTATTTTTTATAAACATAACAATGCAATAAAAATAAATAGTTCGATTCTGGCAACAGTTTATGCAGACAAATCTTCACAAATCTTCAATTTGAAAACAAATTAGATTAAAAGAACGATCGAAACAATAAAAAGTTACATTTTCTTTTTCAATAATATTTTATAATTTTTATTAAATTATGAACAATAAAATAAACAAATATTATAATACATACATTATAATATAATAAAAATTGAAATAAATATTTAGAATCATCTCATTGTGTAACGTATCATTTTGACATGTCATATCGTTAGTTGAAGGTTAAACTTAATGAATATCAAATGACTCATGAAGGACGTATTCAGAAATCATGTCGGCAAGACAATATCTGTAAATCTCAACCTATTTTCATAGACATGTACTCATGAAATATTCTTGGATATCTGTGGAGAATCCATAGAATCGTAGATATAGACGTACAATAAATATATTATAATATGCGACACACGATACAGTATTTCGCATACAATACAAACAATTTATGCAAATTATCTGCAGACGATATCTATAAGTCTGTGCATGTTTTCACGAGGAAACTTTTTATTCGTTGCATGTAGTCTATAACGTATCATTCCTGCCATTTATCGTTGCTCATACTTTTAAACTTTTCGTTCTTCTTAGTTACTTGTTAGTAACTATAGAAGATAATAATTATCAAAAATACTGCAGAGAAAGTCAAATTATCAGTTGCCTTCATTCTAATATGCACACAAATTCCACATTTTTAATCCTTTGCCCTTTGGCAACTTTTTCATTCTAGGAATTTAATTATTCAAACGTTCGCCTCGAGGATGACAAAAGCTTTCAAAATTAATATAACAAAAATAAATTATATATTATGTTATAACGATGTGAATTTTATCAAGATTTACGTTTGAAATAAGACTTTCACTCTAGAGAATTTAATTTACCACAAGGATGAAACTAACTAATTATAGAAATAAATTTATATATTAATATAGCATTGGTATCATATTTCTTTATAACCTTGATATAAATTTTACAAGGATTCGCACTTGGAAACTTTTTCACTCTAAGGAATGTAGTTACTTTAAGTATGTTTACTACGAGGATGATGAAAGCTTTCGAAGCTATAGAAATAAGTTCCACGTAATGTTTTAATCCAGTATTTCTGTACTAACCTTGAATTAAGTTTAAGTTTTATAAAGATTTTTTTGTAAGGATATGTTAATGATAATATGTTAAGTGATATGATAATTTTACAAAAAAGAAATTTTGAAATATACTATATGTACATATATTTATTATATTTTAAATAAGGGAAATAGTTTTGCAATTTCCAGAAAACATGAACACTTTACCTAAAATCCTAAATGATATAAGAAATAAATTTGCAACATATCTGTTAATTTTCTGAATCTTTGTACGAAATGGCGAAAAAAATTCCAAATCTTTAATTCAGAATATTTATAAGAAATACTATTAAAAAAAAAAAAAAAAAATAACGATAACAGAGTACAGAGATATGAATATAAAACGAAAACTAAATTATTAAAAATATTTTATAAATAAAAAGAATATATAAAATGTATCACACTGTAAATCTAACACTGTAAAATTTTACGATTAACGATTAACTAAAAAATTGAAAGAATATTTAAAAATATAAAAAATCGTAAAATAAACAATAATATCCCCTCCAACTTTCCAAATGTCAAAATCAATCGAAAGAGTACCACAGTATCTGCCACTATGCACGATACTCTCGTATATAATAAGGAATAAAGGGTATCAGGGGATGCAAAATACACGAGGAGCCAGAGTTTTCTCTTCGATATCTAGCCCGAGTCGTTCCCGTATATGTATATATATATATATATCACGATCACACGTCTATTAAAAATGTGTGGTTCATATCAAACAATATATTGAATGAAATAAGATGCATCATCGAGAATGCAAACGACGTACTTAGACATCGGTTGTCGACACCATTCGACTCACCTGACTTCTTGAGGATGGCGAGCGATGCCTATGCCGGTCCTGGCTGGTCGACGACGAGGCATGATGTCGATAGATCCTTGCACGCCTAGAGGAAGTGGGATGCGCCAGACGATCACGATCGCGATCACGATGACCACCGTGTTGTCGGCCGCTGCTCGGCGATCGGCGATGGCTCCGCTTGTAACGCCTTTCCTGGCTGGTTCCGCGGTCGTGCTGACGCGATCTCAGCACGCGTTCGCCGCTGAAATTTAGATTTATCGCGGTCGTTGATGAGATACGGTTGTTTGCGTGCGTTTAATTGGCCGATTGGAGATAGGTAATTTGCAATTGGTAGATGAGTGGAAATTGGAGGAAGCGATTAATGCGATGGTTAATAATGATAATGGCAAAGTGGAATGTGTAAAGGTTGGGGGAGAGAATTTTTAAAACGATCTTTAATTTTTCGTATTTGCACACACAGGATGTTTGAAAACATAGGGAAATTCATATTTCATCTTTCACGAGAAGATGGCAAAATAGCAGAAATAGCAGAGCAATAATCTCCGTTTCGCCTGAGTAAAGGAGGATTCTTTCTAAATTATGAGGATATATTTTGTCAATGGTTAATACTTACACTGTTATATGTTCATTTATTTTTCTTATTATTTTTCTTTGCGATTTGATGTGACTGTTTCGGTCAATGTGAAAATACGTTTGATGTAAGGATAACAGATAGTGGGGCATTAATAACCATGTTTTTCTTGCCATTTTCTCGTGGATGAATAATGCAAGATAATAGATTGATTAATTCTATGTGAAAATAATATATAAATAATGTTTTTTTCATTTGAAGTTTCGATTTTTGAATAAATCAATCAGGTTTGAAAATTTTTCGAATGAAATTAAATTATATTTGATTGCATGTGAATTAAATTATTGATTCTATGTGAAAATAAGCAAAAATAAATAATTTTACTGTTTAAACTGTTTGTTTTTGAGAATCTCGAGATTCAAAATATAAAAAGAATCGTAATAATTAATGAATTTTTAAAATTATTTCGAAAACTTGTTTTTGAATGAATAAAAAATTATTCTATACTTTTTTCTTATTTTTACAATGTGGAATTACCCTCTGTCGATAATTCGTATCAATCGAATTAGCCAATTTTATTTGTATTTGAAAATTATTCAAACTTGATTTACTCGAAAATGAAAAAATTGCAAAAATTTTATATTTTTTATTTATTATTTCACTTTTAAAATTAGCTATCCTTCCCATGTATTTTAAATTATCTTTTATAAGTGAAATTCGAATGAATCTTGAATAAGGAAGAATATTAAATGGAGTAAAATTTTTTAAATTATTCCTTTACATGAAACAATATTCATGCAAGGCATGTTAAAAACATGAGAAATATAATTTTATGTAATTATATATAAAATAGATTTATAGCATTCATTTTATTTTATTATGCATTCTCAATTACTATATATATTTACAAGGAAAGTGCATGACCTTCGAATTATCGACTTAATTAAAGTTCAGAACATTGATTTCATTATAAGATTATATTGATATTTGTATATTTATTTTTATAGTAAATCATTTCTTCATTATTATTTTTTTTATAATCATTGCTTTTATATGTGATAAATCTTATGATTATATTTTTATTTTCTTTCATATATTACTTTTTATAATAAATAATATTCTCGTTTATTTCTTATATGGTAAATAAATTTAAAATCCTATAAACAGCAAAAAATTTTTATGAAAATTTATTCAATAATTCAATATTTGAATAATAAATTTATTAAAAATTTAAAAAAAAGAAAAATATTTTTATCAAAAATAATTCAAAATTTGAATTCCGAATTACATCGTAAAATTCAAAAGAATGTAAAGCCATAGTATTATTTATTCAAGTATTCGAATACAATCATATTTTCAAACAATAGCAAATAAAAATTGAAGAATATCGCATCTGGT